GGTTGTGGAGGAGACGACGCCGTCACGCCAGCGGGGAAAGAACTGCTGTGCCAAGCTCCCACCGCCCCGATTCGAGCTCCACCACCCCAGCTGGACCCGTCCAGATCCCACAGGATGTCTCGAAGCAACGCAAGAGGGAAGGACGGGGCAAAAAGATAAACCTCCTCCTGGAGCACCCCGACACACTGATGGATTTCACGAGGATTTGCTCTTTTGTGGCAAAAGCCACATTTTTTTTAAGCGCTGCCAGCGTCAGTTGCTGTACCAACCTCTTGCTCAAACCCTCACGCCAACCACCGGCGTTGGCACAAGCCTTTCTGCACCCAGCTCGGCCCGGTGGCACCTCTCGGTCCCCGGTGTTGTCGTACCTGTGCGTCTTCTCGTGGGCTTTGCACGCAGCCGGGTCAGAGAAGGCTTTGTTACACTCCCTGCAGGAGAAGGGTTTCTCGCCGGTGTGGATACGGATGTGCCGCTTGAAGTTACCGGTGTGGGTGAACTCCTTCCCGCAGTCCTAGGGACGGAGGGGGACAGGTTCAGGCACGGCCGGTGACGCCCGGTGTCCCCGAGGGACTGGAGACCCAGCTGAGGGCCGTGGCCGGTCTCACCTCGCACTTGTGGGTGACGGAGCCGTAGGCTTTCGACTCGGTCCTGTCGCTGTAAGTACCCGAACGCAGCAGACGGGTTTCACCCGAGTTCTCCTGCCCGGAGTCAGTGCTCCCCGATTCGTTATCTTCGGCATTTTCTCCATTTTCTAACCGGGGCTGCTCTTCCTCAGGGATTTTAGCCTCCTCTTGGTCCTCCACCATCATCTCCCCCTCCTCCTCCTCCTTCCCTTCCAGCTCCATCTCTGCAGGCATTCAGAAAACGGGGATGCTAGGGATCGGGAACAGCGTAAGAGACACCAAACCCCACCTGTATTGCCTAACTCTAAGCCCGGGTTTAAAGGCAATGGGGATTAGACCAGCCCTACTGCACTCAGGGAAATCCTGGTACTCCACTGTACCACACAGGTGCCGAGAACTCTGCCTGCAGTCAGTTTGGATTTGCAGGTTATTAGGCCAAAAATCCAAAAGCCTGTGCAGACAGAGGAGCATTTTCCCAACATCTCCTAGCTCCGCCCCATGGAAAGCAGCTCCCATGGGCTCTGCGACCCACAGGAGACAGCGTTTACACAACAAAACTCACACCAAAACACTTAATTGTGTGGAAAACAAGGGTTCAACCCTTGCCCAGCTTTGCTTCAGCCCTGCTGAAGGGAACGAGAAGATGGCAAAGTTCCCGCCACTGCCCTCGCTCACAGACACACCTCCTGTTTCGGCACCCAGAGAGATGTCACCCTTTGCCGCGGAGCTGCCGCTGCTGACCACGCTCTCCGCTGGCTGCGGGTGGCTGGGGAATTCGGCATCGGGGCCCTCTTGGACACCAGCATCTGCCCCTACGAGCAACAGAGTGTCTCGGGCACGCTCAAGGAGACATTAGGTGTGTGTTGGGGAGGGGTGACAGCAGGATTTGGGGTGTCATCTGCTGGCATCTCACCTTCTTGGCCACCCAGCTGCTCTGTCTGCGCCTTGGGCTGTGCTGCTGCGGCCACGGACGTCTCTTCCTTCCCCTCTGGATCGGGAGGAACTGGTTTTATTTTATCAAGATCACTCAGTGCTTCCGCAGTTGATTTCTTGTCCTCGACAGCTGCCTTGTCGGCCCCTGCAAGGGACGAAGCAAAGGGCTCCAGCTTTTGCTGCCTGCGCAGAGGCGCCCCGACAGCTGCCGGAAGAATTTCCAAATCCCATAAAGATTCAAAAAAGCATCAGTTCTTCAACTGCTGGTGCCACACAAGGGGATCAAACCCCATCCAGATGTCTTTGTGTACCAGGAGACGTACCCAGAGCATGGGTTTGGATGCGGCCGGAGAGCATGGTCGCTTCGTGGGGCAATTTCCAGTCTCCCTGGATGAGGGAAAGCGAGGAGGATACGTACCAATTTCGGCGGGGGGCTGCTGGCTCTCAGCGGGGCTTTCTGCTGGTGCGCTGAGGGACTTGAGAGCGTTGCAAGCGCTGACAATCTCCTGCATCTGGAGGAAACCCGCCACGGCCAGCACATCTTCCACGTTGTCAGGGTTCAGGCTTAGCTTAGCCGTGTACATGAACTCCAAAACCTGGCCCAGGCCTGCAAGGGAGATGATGCAACCAGAAATAAGCTCTCACCTCTCAGCCGTGCAATTTTCAAAAGCCCAAACCCATGAAATAAAGGGCTTGAAGAGCTTCCCTCAAACCCTGGGCACAAAACCGCTTTGCTTAAGCGGCTGAGAAGGATATCAGAAAAATCCTCTGCCTACCTGCTGCGTTGCTGATGTCGAGGTGCACCACGTCCTTCTGGTCGACGAAAAGCATCCTGAAATACTCGCTGCAGGCCGCCAGCACAGCTTTGTGAGCCTTGAAGTCGATGCCGTCCACCACAAAGGTGCAGTCGCACAGCAAACCCAGCTGCCGCTGCTGGTTCAGCTGTTCCAGGACTTGCTTGCTGTGCTGGGGGAAATCCATGGCTGTGGGGAGAAAAAAACAAACCCCGGGGCGGGGGGGGGTGTGAGAAGGGTGCCAAAACCCCGACATCGTGTTGGAAAGGACCACAAAACAGGACAGATCACAAAGCCACAGGTCAACCACAACCCGACCGCCCTGTTCATTAAAAAACGTGGCCCAAAAAGCTTAATTTCAGCTCCTCGCTACAGCCACCTGCCTTCCCCACCAAATACAACCCCAAAACCTCTCCTGTAACAGCCGCAACGCCAACACGGTGCCAGAGAGAGTTGCTTGAACAGTCAATGTATTTTTTTTTTGCCACCTTAACAGCATTTAAAATATAGTTATTGCTCCTCATCCGGCCCAAGCTGTGAGCAGGAACCCTATTGCCTCAGCAAACACGAGTGCCGTTGTCCCTTTGGCAAGAAGGGCGGTGTCACCGCTCCCACCAAGGGCACAGTACAGAAAGCGTTCATCAAAATCTTCAAGCTCCTCCTCATTTTGGGTGCTCGCATCACGATACCGAGGAATTTTTATTTTTTTATGGTGCGTTTGGAGGGAGTTCTCCCTGTTCACAGCATGACTTTGGCTGAGGAACGCTGCAAACTTCCAGAAACCCTGCGAAAGCCTGTTTTTCAACGAGTTCCTTGTCGGCAAAGGTTGAGGGATCTTGCTGCCACATGTTGGGTTTTCTCCTGGGCTGCACCTGCAGGGTGCAGGGTAGAGAACAAAGGGTTTTCACTCAGCTTCGTTTTCCAAAAACAATTCCTCTATGGGCTGAAGGGATCATTTCATCCATGGGCAACGGAGGAGAATGCAAACGGGGAATATCCACGGTTATTTGTTCAACCTGCCAGGCCAGGAAGCCCCTAAAACTCTGACTGCTGGAGAAGGCAAGGTTACGGCCAGGGCAAGTCGACGCTAAGCCGATGCTTGGTGTTTCTCTGAAGGTTTCCAGCCCGTAGCAGTTGCTTTTCCACTTTACCAGCTCTTAAAAACAGCCTGAGGAGTCTCAAGGAGGGGAAAGGCAACAGGTTTGGATCCACAAAACCTAGTCCCTTCCAGGCAACCACGAGCACGTCCCTTCCTCTGGATCCATTCGAGCATACACAAGCGCACAGCCGGGCAGAGGGAGCCTCCTCCTGTCTGCTGCAGGTGCTAGCAACACATTGGCAAAAGATCTTCCGTCCAAGGATCAAATCGGCTTCCAAAACCATTCCCAGTGGGGATGAGAAGCCCAGACACCTCTGACAGCATCCCATCACACACACAGAGAAGAAGTTTCACTCCCAAAAAGCACCGTTTGTATTTGCAATTAACTCGCTGCCGTGACTTTCCCCTAACTCTCCAAACAACGAAGTACTTTTTAACCACACACGCACAGCCTATCCCAAAATACATCCCTTGAGAGCCAAAATTACTTTTTTTATCAAAATCTGCCTGAATCCCCGCATACATATGACCCTGTAAGGTTTGCAAAGGAAACTCTGGCCGTTTTAATTTGGAATTAACTCTCTGCCGTTACTTTCCCCTAACTCTCCAAACAACGAAGTACTTTTTAACCACACACGCACAGCCTATCCCAAAATACATCCCTTGAGAGCCAAAATTTTTTTTATCAAAATCTGCCTGAATCCCTGCATACATATGACCCTGTAAGGTTTGCAAAGGAAACTCTGGGTAAAAAAAGGGGAGGATTTTCCCAGCAGGACAAGCAATGCTGCCTTCTGTGCTTGGAAAGCTCTGCGCAGCAGGACCCGAGAAATCACAATGGTTTGATGCACTAAAAGGCTATTTTTGGTAATTTGTAGGAGGCACTCTGCATCTGAACGATGACTTTTATCGCTCCCCGGTTGGACTCGCCTCAGCTTCGCATCTGAGCTTTTGCAAAGGAAGCACAATTCCGAGAAACTCAACTCTTCCCGAAAAACTTCACCTTTTCTGCAGTTTCCTCCGTAACGTCACGTTACAGCTTCATTGGAGCACGTGAGCGCAGCGGGGCAGAGGCTAGGACGAGCTGCGTATCGCCCTCATGCCCGAACCCAGCGCCCAACGTCCCCCAGCAGCTGAGATCACCTTCATACACTAAAATCCCTGACTCCAAGCCTTAAAAATCCCAAATATCTTGATCAAAAAAACCACAGCGCACCCAAAAAACCCACCCTGGTTCCTTGCCACGGCTCAGGCAGGGCCGGTTCGCAGCTCCAGTGATGAGATCAGTCTCCTTCCCCAACCAAAAAGGATGCACCAAAATGGGGCTGGATCTGGGGAGGGCAAATGCCAAATGAAGCTTTGCTGGTCCACCTGACCACTAAACTAATTAGCCCTTGTTAATGCAAACCCGTCGCTGTAGGCCGTTTAAGGCAGCAGCACTGTCTGCGGATGCGCGTCAGAGCTCCAAGCCTGAAAATCAAAGATAAGGCAGGATCGGTGCCCGACCTCACTCCTGCGCTGCGAGGAGCGGAGATATCCGGTAGACTGAAGCTGTGGGCGAGACGGTTGCGGCTCTCCTCCAGAGCTTTCCCCCTTCCCGGTGCTAAAGTCAGTCTCTACACGGCCATCCTGGGAGAAACGGGACGAAAAGCTCCGTTTTAAAACCCAAACCTTGTGTGTCAAAGGCGCCAGGGTCCAATGTCACCAACCCAGGACCGGGCACACCCCAATTTCACCTTGTCTGAGGCACACGAGCGCCATTTCCCCTCCCGACCTCTCCCCGACGTGGCTGTCATGTCTCTTGTTACCCAATTAATCACAGAAAAGCTTCGTTATGAGAACACCCACGCCTGCCGCGAGCACTTGCAGAGATAAATACAGCAGCTACAGTCCTGAGGAGCTTCCCACATGAGCTCTATTAAGCTCTTTCGCTTATTAATGACATTAACCTCTCCCCACACCTGCCACCTGAGCATCTACCTATTTAAAAAAAAAACCCAAAACCTCAATAATTTGGAAAAAAATAGCAGTCTAAGCGTTGCCTTTCAATGCTGTCACCATCTAGCTGTCCACTCTTATGCTGAGAAGAGAAAAAGGAAGAGGAGGTTTACTTTCTGCCTACCGTCATCTCCCTTCTCGTGTGTCAGCAGCCCTAATCCTTTCAGTCTCTGCGAAGAGGAGCCTGTCCTCATTTCCAGTAAGTGATTCTGCAACATTTTCAGTTAAAAAAATAAAGTTAAGAGCTGACTGACCACAGCATTCAAGGTACAGATGTGCTAATAATACAAGTTATGAAATAGAGAAGGGCTCTGGAGTTCGTGGTTGGCAGCGAAACCGGAAGGCGAGCTCACATTCAGCTGTAAGGGGGAAAAAAATAATCACAGGCAGGAAAAAAGTATGGTGAAAAGGAACTAAAAGGAGAAAGACACAAGGAGAGAGATGAGCAGAGACACTCTGGGCCCCCACACCAAAGAGACACCCCGTAGACCCCTCAGATATTTAGGTTTTGGGCCCACAGATAGACTCGCGCAGCTCCTGGCGCAGCGGGACGTGTCTGTGCAGGCAGGGCTGCCTGCAGGTAACCGGAGCCCTGGGCCGCAGCAGGCAGGGAGCCAGCGGGGCCGCTGAGACATCACCAGACCTCGAGCTCTGCCACGAAAACCGCAGTGCTCGGATGACGAACTACAAAACCTTCGTCTTCTTGCAAAAAAAACCCAACCCTGTCTTTGCGACGCTGGAATTTCGGCAGAAACTTCCGATGCAAAAACGCAATTAAGGAAACGCGGCTTGTCCGTGAAACGCATCATCCATGCTTGAGAAGCGATGCCTGCAGAGGGTATGTACAGCTGGTGTGGGCTGTCATCACGCCAAAAAAAGATGCCAGAAGATGAGAAAAAAACCTTTTTTCCTTGAGTTGCCGCACAACGCTTTGAAGTTTTCTCTGCTCTTCTGCTGGCAACGTCCTTGACGTGCAAGTAGACAGTTTGTGCGGTGTCAGGGGACTCATCTCGCGCAGCGTTGGCTGGCGGGGCTGTCCCCCCCGCAGACGTCTCGCTGTGTCCCGAGGGGATGGTGGCTGCCCCACGCGTGGGGGGACAGGGCTTCGCTCCTGACCTTGTCCCACATCACCCCGCAGCTCCGTGACACGTCTCCCACAGGGGACACACACGCTCTGGTGAGGGTGGGC